AGAGAGAGAGAGAGAGAGAGAGAGAGAGAGAGAGAGAGAGAGAGAGAGAGAGAGAGAGAGAGAGAGAGGGAGGGAGAAGAGCTGTCCAGGGTCATTTCTCATGGTCCTCCGACCCAGGCCGAAGGCAAAGAAAGGAAAAAAAAATGTACGTCATTGTACTTCTGGCTGCAATCATGGGCAGATGAATGCAAGGTTACTTTGACAAATCAGGAAGGGAGAGGGCTGTTTTTCATGGCCCTCTGACAGCTTGAAGACCATAAAAAATTGTGCTACCCCTCTCAAGCTTGCCTTTTTCTGGAACTTCCCCGTCCATAAATCTGGTCACGACTTCAGCCGCAACTGCAGCCAGATTCATTCCCACCTTCTTGCTTTTTACACTTTGTTTCACTTTCCATTCCTGTAGTACAAGGGCCATGAAAAATGTATCCTCCCCCGGCCCACCTCTCTCTCTCTCTCTCTCTCTCTCTCTCTCTCTCTCTCTCTCTCTCTCTCTCTCTCTCTCTCTCTCTCTCTCTCTCTCTCTCTAGCTGTGTCATCTCCTTGGTCCCAACTTGCTCTTTTAGGGACAAATGTCACACCTACCACTGGCAGATTGGTGAAAGAAGCTGCAAGGATGCCCACGAGATCAGGCATTCCAAAGGGAGCACTCCAGCACAGAGATGGCCTGATTGTTCTTTTTTCTTAGTATAGTCATAATATACTAGCTATTATGCAGAATCTAATCAAACGGATATACGAACAGTAAAAACAGAGATTCAGGGATAGGAAAAGAGTGTGGGACTAGACTGTAGTCTCCATTTTTCATCCCATCAGCAATGGGACAAGACTCAAGAATGATGGAAAGAAGTGATGGAACAAGAGAAGGTAGAGTGTGAACGAGAAGTCAGTGACTTACTACAGCTCATTCTTCTGGCGAAGCGTGAGTTTCTTCTGGAGCAACGGCTTGTCCACCATAACAACCTTCATGCTGCCTGGACTCATGCTGCTAACAACCTTGGTGCAGCGCGGATTCATGCCGCTATCAATACATGCACTCTCACCATGCTGTTGGAATGAAAATGATTCTGACGCCCCCACATGCATTTCACCCGGACTGCTCTTGCCATCAACTCGTAGACTGGAAGAAGGCTGCTGGGATGTATCTCCTTTGGAGGCATCCTTGTCAATCACCTCTTCACTGTCCAGCATCCCTGTGACACCGTGCAAAAAGCACTCGCGGACAATAATAGGCAATTCCCATGACTTCGCCATCCACAACAACCGGAAAACACCAGGGCGACACAAAACAGGAGAGGATAGTGAAATCAAAACTCGTCTTCTTGTCACTTTGTCATGCCTGCAAACAGCGGTACAGCAACT